CTACTTGTGCTTTCCTGGTGTTCTGTTCAATAAAGGTCTATGATTTTTGGAATCTCCGTGTCTCCTCGCTCCAGTACAGTAGGCACGCATGACAGAATACTGGACCGAAACAGAAAGTAAGCGGCGCTCCTTCTCCCTGTTTTGTTTCCGTTTTAGAAAGTCTTTTGTTTTCTTGCTTTTTGTTTCCCCCGGCGTGATCATGGAAATCACCGCTCGTTTTTCCGCCTTAGCCTGCAGAGATCTCCCCTTCTTCGAGTACGCCTAGGAATTCTGCGGGCTCGCCGCAGCAATGGCATTGGATGACGCTACCATCAATTCTCTGTTCTGGCTTGGGGCCAACTACAATTGCCCCATGGACCTCCCAGACACCAAGGGACTATGCTGGAGGGAAGGGATCTGGGGAGTGTCCGGGCCCGAGCCAGAACCAGCCTCCCCGCGTCTCTCCCAGTGTGGCCTCCTGTCCCCGAGTCTAGCCCAGTGAGGGTTCCAGTCCCCGAGTCTATCCCAGAGAGGGCTCCAGTCCCCGAGTCTAACCCAGTGAGGGCTCCTGTCCCCGAGTCTAGCCCAGAGACGGCCCCAGTCCCCGAGTTTAGCCCAGAGATGGCCCCAGTCCCCGAGTTTAGCCCAGAGAGGGTCCCAGTCCCCGAGTCTAGCCCAGAGAGGGCACCAGTCCCCGAGTCTAGCCCAGAGCCCGCCGCCCAGTGTCTGTCCTGAGGGACCTCCAGATTCTGTTCCGTGTCTGTGTTTGTTTTCTTCCTCCACGTGCTCCATGTGCCGTTTATGTCCTTATTTGGTCTTCCTGTTCCTGTTCGCTGATTAGGTTAATTTGTCCCAGGTGTTTCCAATGTTTATTATGTCATTGATTTCAGGTGTTCCTCATTGTGTCCCTCTAGTCCTGTTTATTTAATGGTTTCCTGTTTTGAGTTCTTTGTCCAGTATTGTTCGTCTCACCCCAGTGCTATGTGTGCTTTCCTGGTGTTCTGTTCAATAAAGGTCTATGATTTTTGGAATCGCATCTCCTCGCTCCAGCACAGTAGGCATGCATCCTTTCCAGTTGTGTTTGTCTTGGTGTGGAGGTGAGTGGTGATGAACAACAGACTAAGCTACCTGTGCCTCGAATTTACAGTTAATTATCCTATCCATGAGTGACTCATGAGAGCTACCAAGTTAGCTAAAGTTTAGCTAAGGCAATAGGAAGTCTAGTAGGTTAGACCAGTGCAGGTTCTTTCACTGCATGATTCAGTTTATTAAAATGCATTTAGAATGATCACAAAATGCAACATATGGGGGCAGAAATGTATATATTTATATCATTTCATATAGTTAATCAGTATCACGCGAAGACTGACGTTTTTTCCACCAAAAAGCAACATGAGAAATGTGATACTGATTTTATACAGCAGTTCAATAAACAAGAATTCAATATTAAGACACTTACGTTTTAGACACAATATTGACTGTCTTTGCTCTATTTTGCCAACAAATATCATTTCAATTTGCGTCGCTGAGCAACATGAAGCTGTTTTGTTCCTGATTTAATCACCCGTTTAAATGAATGTTGTGGAGCTTAGGAGATGTTACAGAACCATTTCATGTAAATTTCTTCGATGTACTGAAAAAAATCTATATAGATTACTTTTATGCGGGCTTTTGCGGGCGGGCGCGGGACTGAAAAATCCGTCCCGCGCAGGTCTCTAGTTTCAATGATTACGGAATGGCGTTTGTACAGTACATTTTACAGCCTATATCGAAAATCAGCTTTCTACCTTAATGTAGCCTACCTTTCAAAAAAACTCACATTTGATAATATGACATATAAAACAATAATCAGTTTTTGGGAGTAGTTACATGTAATGGCGTTACATAATTTAATTACAAAATAAATGTAACTGGCATAAAAATCCGTTCCAGTGCTGGTTATTTTAAAACCAAAAATCAGAACAATCTCAGAGTAAAAAGCTAAAGTACTAAAGTGCTAAAGTCTAATTTTGGTGATGGTGGCTGTGCTTTAAAATTAAACTATTATAATCTTAATTCAAGTGATATAGGATTTTGAAAGTCTGACAGTAGTGTTGAGTACTGCTGTAAGGTTAATGCTGCCTGGTTTGTTTGAAAATGATTAACAGTTGAAAACATTCATTAGAAATTTAGAAAAGTAATTAAATGTAATCAGTTACCCTATTACTTTATAGAAGTAATGTAACTTGTAATCTGTAACCTATTGCAGAAGTAATCTTCCCAACACTGGCAATAATGAACCAAGCAATTTTCTAAATTTTTCATTGTATACAGTAAGTAACTTACCAATTAACAGTTCTAGTACTAAAGTACTAAATACAATTAAATGATTTAAGAGCAGATTTTAATACCATTTTCACCATCCTATACTGGACATATTCCTCCCTGACTCGACTGACACTTGACCACTGAACTTGAGCACCTGTATGCCGTTCACTGTAGAACACTGTGGCCTTTCAGACAGAGGCCAGACGTGTCTGCACGACTGCCAGATTGGACTATATGCAACAGCTGCTCAAGTGCATCTTAGCCTGGAAGAGCTCCACAAGTGCTAATCTGAGGATCTGTTGGACCCGGGTTTGAGTGCCGTCATCACTTGAATGACTGTGAAAGACCAGTTGCCATGATGCTAAACATGTATGGAACCTTATTCTTGGAGACTGTGCATATGTTCCTGCTTCCAGCATCAACCTGTCTTGAAAAGATGGTCTGTGGCATTCAGACTTTGTCAATGGAATTCTTTCTGTGATAGTATCTGCAGTGATGGGTGGCCATCAGAACATCTTATGAGGGCAGCTCGTCCTTTGGATCCTCATCAGACTGCATACACACAGACTCACATACAAGCTCTCCGAACATGTATGGACTGGAAGAGATAACTGGGGTCTTTGTGTCAACTGCTATCAGCTCGTTTTGGAGATCTGGATCTGCTTCGTGTTTGCACACAGGTGTCTGTAACCCAGGAAGGACTGGATGTTCCTAGATCCTCATCCCTTGTTCATTAATAACCCAATCATCACCTTAACCCTATCTCAATTAGGTTTATGATCCTGGAACACATCCTATTTGGCAAAATCACAGTCACGGTTGCCACGTGGTGACCGGATGCGCAAGTAGAATGTGTTCTTGGTCAGTGTCTTTTCTTGGTCCTGGTACAACATTCCAAACCATTAATTGATTTAAAATGAGAGGGAAATGACACTGTAGGTTGATATGAAAGTCGTTCAAGCCCCAACCTGAGCCTTAAGCTCTAACTGGTTGATAGGAATGTTGTTTCAGGACCAAGTGGAGTCTGCTCCAGGAATATGTTCCACTTGGCAAAATCATGGGCACCATCCAGACATACCACTGATTCTCTCTCACACAATCTTAATATTACACTCTTACTGTCTGATATTTAACACTATAATCTTGGTAGCCAAAGAAAAAGAATCCGAGTATCAACTTCTGCTTGTAAGTTTGGGGAAGGACTGCCTTTTTCACTACACAATGGAGGATGGGGCAAAAGCGGCGGTAGGAGTGCATTTAAAAACCTGTTTGAAAATAAGCATTTTTCCTGCATTCCCATTAGGTGCTAAAATAGCACACTTCACCTTTCAGTATGAAAGTCAGTATGAAATAAAAATTCACTCTATCATTTTTTTTCTGGGTGAACTTTCCCTGTAAGGCAAAACATTGAAAGGATGCTAGAAATCTAGAAAATATTGTACGTTGCTTTGGAAAAACAGCCGTTTTAAAGACCTATGGTTTTGAGAAATTAACTTAGTGCCAATCACCAAGAGCTTAGTCCAGGAGAAAACCCAAAGAAGCTGGACAGGTCTGGGTCAAGAATAATAAACTTCACTTTGTACACATATAATTACATCTTCACATCTGGTAAATGTCAGCAGAGCAACACTCAAAAGAAACAAATACAAGAAATGATGGACTTCACTGGACTAAAGTTACCAAGGACGGAGAAACCAAACCGAGCAATTTATGTGTAGTCCAAGGATTTACAGACCTGTTGCTTGTTTTAAGATTAACTGTGTTTGCACTGCTCTTCCAGCCACAGAAAAGACTATTCATAACAGTTACATATAATAGTAGTAGAACGTCACTTTACAAATCTTTGTGGGGGTTTTCCTAAATATTGTAGGTCAGTGTGGTCAAAAGCCTGGCTCTGTTGAAAGAGGACATCCTTACAACTCCATACTGAGGTAAGCTCGGATAATACAAATTGAAAGTTTTAGCACAAACCTTCTTAAGAATTGAAAGCAATGTTGCTAACTTCTTGTTAACTGGCCCCAACATATTGTGACATTTTGTGGTTTACATTTACATTTATTTAGCAGATGCTTTTATTTACAATAGTAATTTACAATATACAATGCTACATTTAGTAAAAACCTGGATGGCAAGCAAGCTAGAGCAAATGTGGAATGCCATTTTTTTTTTAAAGTATTTTTACATAGTAAATGTGATGAGCTACACCTGTGGTTACTCTGCTGGACACACGTGTGAACTTGAGAAGAACTAACTTCATACATCAGTGAAAATAGTTCTGAGAAAACTTGTGCAGAATTTTTGGCAGACACAACATGGTTTAATATTTTGCGATAATGAAATTACATTTTTAAGGGAGCTTTAAGTGTCATTTAAGCATACATTTTTGGGGCTGTTGAAGACTGGTATTTTTATTTTTTATTTTTGTGTTAGGACAGGGAGGAAAGACTAGGCAGTAAAATGTACCAAGACAACACAACAAGATGACAAGACTCGTATAAGGGTAAACTTTATATATACAGTATATATGGACATTTTTTACTTTTTTGTTAGAGTAAACAAAATTGATGTGTATTTTTAATCTTATACAGTATTATTAATTTCTACATAAATCTAAAGAAAATTCAAAAATCTGAGCAAGCATAACAACTTATTGTTTTCATGTTAACTTCAAAATTTAACACAAAATAAGTAAAATCAAGACGTGTATTGCATGGCATACAAAAAAAGGGCATGAGAAATAATTCAACAAATTAACAAGTCTATATAACTTCTGAAACTCCAGCCACATGCTTGGGAGACATCCTGATGCTCCATATAGTGTACTGAACACAACACTGCAAAATCTTGACTGTCTGCTATAATAAAGCTTATCTTACATAGAGAACATAATGCTGAAAGCTGTGGCAAAAAATAATTATATATTGTGTTGGCAAACACAAAATAATGCAAAATAAAAGTAAACGATAAGCAATTAAAAGTATGACAACATTTGAGGCAATGTTGGCCACTCAAACCAAAAATACAATTTGTTGGGTTTATACTGCCCACTTGTGGTCAATCTGGAGGGTTTGAAAAATGGTAAAAGCGCCACCATGGACACGACAAGCTTTACTTTTCCATTCCTTTAAAACCCGAGAACATCTTGGAGCACATCTCTCTCTCTTTGTCCAAATAGTCCTTGTAGCAGCTGTAAAAGATCAGTAGATCTGTTTAGCTTTCACATTAACACGTAGGAAAACTTGACAAAACTATCAGATAAGAAAAACTTACAGAGCAAGCTTTCTCAGCAAGGTGTTGATGTCAGGGTCGAATGGCTTGTTCACCTGAGCGAGTGTAAGGTAATCTTGTGCTTTCTCATAGTCATTCATCTCCAAACAGGCCTTAATAAAAATAAACAAATAAAATAAAATAAAGAAAGAAATTAAAATAAAAAAAGGAAAGCTCTTAATATCAGATCAGTGGTCTTCCGCTACAATGGTAAACAACACAAATAAAAACCTGATTGGAAGATTCTTCAGGATTCTAAAGAATAGGTCTTTATTTGGGCTGTCAATTTAACATTTTAATTTGCATTGAATAAATGTACTTGGTGTGATCACTAAAAAACACACTACATTAGTACAAAAGCAAAAGTAATGCAATAAAATAGAAATCTTGCTCCAGGAATCAGAAGTAAATTCAATCATAAGGTATTTTATCAATCATAATGAATTTTTCAATCATAAAGAAATTTCCCACTAGCACAGCAATTCAAACTTGGTGTGCTACCTTTGTTTTAGCAAGTCCAATCTGGCCCCATCTGAACATGCAGTAAAAAATGAACAAGATTCCGTTCACAGAAGACATAACCATGTGCTCAAAATCAGCTAATCAGAGCACAACGGAATGGAAAACATTGAGCTCACTGCTTGAGACTCAGAAAAATAGCAACAGAGTGGCCAAGACATTAGTCTGAATGAATAACAGCAATTTAAAAAAAGGAAAAGAATTAAACATATCCTATGTGAAGAGTCTCTAATAGCAAGGTCATACTTGCCTCTGTTCGCAAAATTTTGTGGGTGAAATACAGTCACTCCAATAGGAATCTGTGCAATCTGGACTTCTGTGTGAGGGTGAGCTTCCCACTCAGATTTCACTCAATTTCAGATTGGTCATCTGAAATTGTCACGCTGTCCAACAGAAAGCTGCTTACTTTGAAAGTGACTACCGTGCAAGCAGTGCATGATACATCGTTTCACTACTGACAATAGCCCTTTGCCCATCAAATTTTGCTGATGTGAACACACTCTGTCGACTCGATTGTAAAATGGATTGCTGTAGGCCAGTGATCAACCTATAATTTTATTTTCATTGAAATGGAAATAAAACAGTATATTGAGTTCTTATGTATGCAATTACTCATTTTCACAACTGGTTCCTTTGGAGTGTTTATTTTGGAACCTGGCATGTTTTCTCCCATAGTTTGGTTAGTTTCGCCATATATGAACATAGCAATCGCACTCAGAGTAGCACCAAAATAATCGGTTTGAGATCCAGTCCAATTGAAAATGAACTCTGGAGCAGTGATAAGAAAGCAATCTGACCCAACAGACTTGTCAATCCGTCTTGAGTCTGTTGGGTCAGATTGCTTTCTTATCACTGTTCCAGAGTTCATTTTCAATTGGACTGGATCTCAAACCGATTATTTTGGTGCTACTTTGAGCTTTTGCTATGTTCATATATGGCGAAACTAACCAAACTATGGGAGAAAACGTGCCAGGTTCCAGGTAGCCACAGCCATATCACCCTGTAGCCCAAGACTGGTCGCCCACTGAAGCTAAGCAGGGTTGAGCCTGGTCAGTACCTGGATGGGAGACCTCCTTGGAAAACTAGGTTGCTGTTGGAAGAGGTGTTAGTGAGGCCAGCAGGGGGTGCTCACCCTAGAGTAGGGGTGTAACCCCGGTGTCCTGGCCAAATTGCCGCCACTGGCCCTTGTCAATCTTGGCCTCCTAATAATCCCCAACCACTTGACTGGCTCTATGACTCTCTCTCCTCTCCACCTGTAGCTGGTGTGTGGTGAGTGCACTCATTCATTGATGGATGACCAGTGTGAGTGGGAGAATCCCAGAATATAACTGTACAGTTTTAAGTCCTTCTTTCGATAAAAAAGCAAATGATCTTCTGAAAACGCACTAGATTTGGGTGATTTTATTAGCAAATACTCATAAATGTGATTAATTCAATTAATTAATCAGCATATCTTGATTTTATTAAAATTTTAACTCAACTGACAGCCCCTAGATTTTATAGAGCTATATGTTTTTTACTGAAAGATTATGATAAGGTTATCAACCAAGGATATAAAAATGACTAAATGTCACCTAACCTGGCCGCAGCGGAAGAGCGCTTTAGTGTTCTGAGGGCTGATGTCCAGCACTTTCTGACCGTAGCAAAGGGCCTTCTGGGGTTTCTCCAGTTTGAGATACGTGAGTGAGAGGTTGAGCAGGAAAGGCAATTTCATTTCTTCAAGACACTTCTTCTCTTCTTCATCCACCGGCTCACGATTCTGCAAAAGTGTCATGGCCTGTACCATGGACCAACAGTAGTGTGACACGACTGCTACAACACAGTCTATTATTAGTTTTTAGAATAAACTAAAATTTTTCTTTATCCATTTACTTTCACTCTCATTTCTTAGAAACGAACAAAACCGTTATAAGCACAGAACCTGTTTGTATCGCTCTCGAGCATCTTCATAGCGCTTCTTATTGAAGCAGAGGTTGCCAAAGCTCCGCTGTGTGTCCAGTACATTCAGAAATGTGGACAGAGGAACATTGTTCTGCTCTTCCTGAGGAACAATGTTGAGATTACAATCTCTGACACAACCACCAAATAAAATGAGCAAGCTAAATGCATAAAAATCTTACCATACTCAAATCCATGAATTCATCCACTTGTGCCGAGTCCAGGAAATCAAGGACTTGCACCTCATAGAGGACTGTGGCTAATGGAGGTATGTGCGGGGGGCATCCAAGGTCCCCGTAGGCATATTTGGGCTTGAAAAGAAAACGGGAAAACTCGCCTTTCTTCATAGTAAGAAGACCAAGCTCTAGGCCATACAAAGTAACATCTATGGGGAAAGAGGTTAGAGTGTCTCGGCGGAGGAAAAAGAAGAGATTATACAGGAGAAACTTGATTATCATTCTAATGGAAGAATTCAGTTTCCATCCTACCTCTACCAAGCTTCATCATTCGTGGAAATTTAAGGAGGCTGGTTGTCTCAAATGGTGCATCAGAGTACTCAATGAAACCAGAGAAATGAACTGTGGATGAAATGAGTTCATGTTGGCAGCTAATGAGAAGCTAAAGAGAATCTATAACATAAAAGTACATACACTATCAATCAAAAGTATTTTTTAAGAAATTAATACTTTTATTAAACAAGGATGCATTAAATTTAAATTTAAAAGTGATAGTTAAGAAATGCATAATGTTACAAAAGATTTATATTTAAAATAATTATTTTGAATCTTAAAAAATATCAGTTTACAAAAAAAAATGTTTAGCACCACAACTGTTTTCAGCATTGATAATAAGAAATGTTTCTCAAGCACCAAATCAGCATTTTAGAATGATTCGTTTTATCATCACAATAATAAATTTTAATTGAAAATATATTAAAATAGAAAACATATTTAAAATTGTAAAATAAAAAAAAATACATTTCACAATATTACTTTTTTTCTGTATTTTTTATCAAATAAATGCAGCCTTGGTTAGCATATGAGACTTTTAAAAAATCTCGACCACAAACTTTTGAATGGTAGTGTGGTGTGTATTCTAAGAATCATTTATTTATTTCTGCATTATTTGACTATCATAAGCAAGAAGCTAGAACTTAATAAAACCACCATGTTAATTTCAGTCATTTACTTGATACAGAGGCATGCTTGGGTAGGGGTGGACCTTCTCCTGCATGGACGACCTCTTTGAGAATTCCTCCATCCCCTAATATGTCTTGCATTTGCCAAGCCAGACGCTGGAATGGAGTCCAGCACAAAAAGAAAAAGAAAGAAAGAAAGAAAGAAAGAAATTACTACAAATTTTTTTTTAATTTCTTAATTCATGTTAAAGCTAAATTTTTTAGCCAAGCAAAAAACTTTAACCAACCATGTAACACTGTAATACATAATATAGCATTAACTCCCACTACCAAAAAAAAAAAAAAAACATGAGACTACATTTCTTGACATACTACCATATTTCTGGACTATGTTAACATGTTAACTTGGTAAATCTTTTGCTTTTTTGGAAGAATCTTGGAGTACCACATAAACTCATGCCACGTGAATATGGCAATTGTTCAGTATTGTTATATTAAAACATCATGGAATTACCATCTTATATCATCATTAGGCTAGATCATGGCACAACAGCAGTATTCTTTTGTTGTGTAAGGGGTATCGGTTACCCTATAGGCGGGATGAAGAGACACTACTGAAAATACTGAAATGTATATTTTAGTAACATGGTAGCTCACACGGTACCAACCTAAATTTTTTTTTGCACTGATCACGTCAATGTCAGGTCAAATCCAAGCCTGTGGCCACCTCCAAATACATAACATGTGGAGGTTAACAAGCTCTTAACCTTGTTTTTATCAATTCTAAACTACGCATTTTGTCTTGTAGTGGCGTTGTAGAGAACTAACGTTAATATAAATCTCATATAAACACATATAAAGAGGAGTAAATTGCTTGCTGGCGCGTTCTGTTGTAAATTGATCATGCATCATTAGAAATTAGCCAGCTCTTTCACTGCAGTGCAGTTAACGTTACCTCGATTCCAAACTGACGGCGCTCATCTGGGGCTATGAACTGTAATATTCTCGAGGTCTTGCCGTTTGTTGACATTGTGCATGTGTTTTTAGGCCAAAAACACTTTCAAAAGAGGTCAATCTGCAAGTGTGGATTGGACTATCTGTTACTGCCAGTGTGCGCGACACCTGCGCCAACTAGCGGCCGTCATTTTAATATTGAAATTAGCCTACTGTTGTTTAATGAAACAAGCCACAAGACGCATGTTTTTACCAAGAAGTGTCGTTAGGTCACCTGTGTACATGTATACATCTACACTATTTTACAAAAACTGTTTTAAGTAAAACGAGGCTTCGTTGACAATCCGTAGGAACTGACTGAATCGGTTCACAAAACCTGTCTGGAGGCTTTATCCAAAGAGACTGACTGCACATTTCATTCAGGAATCGAACTGACTTACGCGAACAGAGATGGGATCAATATAATCAATATAAAAATTTTACAAATAAAACGTAGACAACTGTAATTATGTTTTTGACTTGACTGTATGAGAATTTAATCAATGTATGAAACAGAATTGGTTGTTTAATGTTAATGCAAAATATATCATAAAAAAAAGCCACGCTGAAATTTCTGGAACCACGTGATGGGGCGATTACGGAATGACGTGGTTTAAACTGGGTCACGTTCGAAATGTGTTCAAAAGAATCGATTCGCAGGACTTCTTAATGGTTTGACTAGTTTTACTACCATGCGTTGAGGAAATCTACTTGTTACAGACATGTAAATACAAGACTCGGATCCAAAAAGAATCTGCTTTGGAAATAACCGCTACATTCAAGGAAAAGTACAGAAATTAGCCAGCTCTTTCACTGCAGTGCAGTTAACGTTACCTCGATTCCAAACTGACGGCGCTCATCTGGGGCTATGAACTGTAATATTCTCGAGGTCTTGCCGTTTGTTGACATTGTGCATGTGTTTTTAGGCCAAAAACACTTTCAAAAGAGGTCAATCTGCAAGTGTGGATTGGACTATCTGTTACTGCCAGTGTGCGCGACACCTGCGCCAACTAGCGGCCGTCATTTTAATATTGAAATTAGCCTACTGTTGTTTAATGAAACAAGCCACAAGACGCATGTTTTTACCAAGAAGTGTCGTTAGGTCACCTGTGTACATGTATACATCTACACTATTTTACAAAAACTGTTTTAAGTAAAACGAGGCTTCGTTGACAATCCGTAGGAACTGACTGAATCGGTTCACAAAACCTGTCTGGAGGCTTTATCCAAAGAGACTGACTGCACATTTCATTCAGGAATCGAACTGATTTACGCGAACAGAGATGGGATCAATATAATCAATATAAAAATGTTACAAATAAAACGTAGACAACTGTAATTATGTTTTTGACTTGACTGTATGACAATTTAATCAATGTATGAAACAGAATTGGTTGTTTAATGTTAATGCAAAATATATCATAAAAAAAAGCCACGCTGAAATTTCTGGAACCACGTGATGGGGCGATTACGGAATGACGTGTTTAAACTGGTTCACGTTCGAAATGTGTTCAAAAGAATCGATTCGCAGGACTTCTTAATGGTTTGACTAGTTTTACTACCACGCGTTGAGGAAATCTACTTGTTACAGACATGTAAATACAAGACTCGGATCCAAAAAGAATCTGCTTTGGAAATAACCGCTACATTCAAGGAAAAGTACAATAGTTCTTGTGAACACACAACCAAGAGAGGTTTTAATGTGAATCATCTTTTTTGTTTTGAAGACACACACTAGTGGGTGAAAATTAAGTTGTTGGTCCAGTAAAAGTGTACAGTGCTAATGTCCTTAGAGCAGATTTTTTCTAGAGCAGCTCAACAGTTTAAATATCATTAACATACATTTTCTTACAGAATGGTTTGTTTTTTGAATATTAATCTTTAAACAAGTTTTTCAAAGACGCTTAAGTTTTGACATAGTTGACAGGTTTACTAATAACTTTAAAATTATTAAATTTTATTGGGGAAGTTGTGGCCTAATGGTTAGAAAGTCTCAAGTCCGGCAGGGATTGTAGGTGGGGGGAGTGAATGTACAGCGCTCTCTTCCACCTTCAATACCACGACTGAGGTGCCCTTGAGCAAGGCC